CAAAAAAAAAAAAAAAAAAAAAAAGATGACTGGTAAGGGGATCTTAACCCTTGGTTTGGTGTTTTCAGAACCACACTCAGCCAGTGAGCTAACCAGCCATCCCTATATAGGATCCGAACTCGTGGCCTTGGTGTTATCAGCAGCACACTCTCCCGAGTGAGCCACAGGCTGGCCCAGAACGACCTGATTTTAAGGAGATTTGCAGACAGTTGGAAGTACATATTCAATGCTCAAGACAGATATCACTCATTCATTAATCGATTCAGGACAAAAGTCCTCTATTCATTCAACAAATATTTATTAAGTGTCCACTGTGTGTCAGGTACTGTTCTAGGTGCTTGAACAAAACAAATAAAAATTCCTGTCCTCACATTCTAGCAGGATGTCAATAAACAGTAAACATGGTAACTAAGTAAATTATAAAGCATATTATAAGGTGTTAAATGCTATGGAAAAATGATGAGGAGAATGATGAGATGGGTTGTAACTTTTAACTGGGTAGTTGGGGTAGACCTTATTAAGCATGTGACATTTGAGCAGATACCTGAAGCTGATGAGGAGTTGTATAGATTTATTGGGGAAAGAGCCTTCTGGATAGTGGGAATATTCAGTGGAAAGGCCCTAAGGTGGGAGCAGTCATAGCATGTCCTAGGAACAGCAAGGCCAGTAGTGACTGGGGCAGAGTGAGCAAAGGGAGTTGGAACAAATGGCGAATGTGATGGTTTAGAAGTATAATCATAAGTAAAACCAAGCACCGTTCTAAGTGCTTTCAATTTATTAAATCATCATAACAATTCTGTGAGTTAGGCACTGTTATCATCTGCATTTTTACGGATAAGGGAATTGAAGCCTGGAGAAGAGGCTAGAAAAGTGGTCCATGTCATAGAAAGCCTCAGAGGTCAGGCATAGGAGCCTGGGCTTTATTCTGCAGGTAGTGATAAGCCATTAAAGATTTTGATCATGAAATGATCAGAACTGTGCTTTGGAAAGATTAATCTCATGGCATTCTTTAGAGTAAATTGGAGGTGAGACACTAGGAATTGAATTAACATGGTGGCAAATGGAATGGAACAGAAGTGTGAACAATTATACAATACGTATTTATTAAATAATTTAACTGGAGAAAGCAATAGAAAAATCCATTATGACAAATCCAACATTCTGTAGAGAGTAGTTATTTTTAAATTTGGGGGAAATATAGTTCCCTTTGATAAGCTAATGGCAGCTATCAACTCTTTCATTAGAAAAATGCACATACCTGTAACTTTGTGTACAATTTCAGATGCTTTAGGACACCCTGGAGCACATCTAAGCTAAGAGCCTCTTTGTATCTCAGAATTAGGAGACCTGAACTCAAGTCCTGCTGGGCCCTTGTACGAACTAGTTGTGACTTTGGTTAAGTCATTTTACTACTCTAGGTCTTGTTTCCTTTATCTGTAAAAGAAGGTTTTAGTTTTAGGTTACTAGATCTCTAAAGGCTCTTTTAGTTCAGAAACACAAGGTTTCTATCTTCATGGAGCTTACTTAGGAAATAGACAATAAATAAGTAAATAAATTTTTATATTTTAGATTGAAGTGTTATGAACAAAATTAAAGGAAAAGAAAAATGATTGAAGTGTGCATGAGTACGCTTGCTAGTTTTGATAAGATGGGTAGAGTGATCTTTCTGTGTCTTTCCGCAATTTCCCTATACACTAAGTACACAATTTGCTTTTTGCTATGTCTCCTGACAGGAAAGAATTGGGACGTGAGTGCTGCCCTCAGTGATTTTGAACAGCTACGTCAAGTCCATGCTGGGAACCTACCTCTACCCTTTAGTGAAGGGAGTGGTGGTTCCAGGACCCCTGAAAAAGGGTTTTCTGATAGAGAGTCTACTCGCCCTCCCCGACCCATCCTGCAGCGGCAGGATGACATCGTTCAAGGTACTGGGGTAACTGAGGAGTGTTTCTGGATATGGAGTAGGAAAGGAGGGGACTGCTAAATGGAGACAGAAAGTCTAGCAGTACTTTGGAGATGAATCCATTCCTTCCCTTTATGGCCTCAATCTGTTCGGGTGTGGGAGCCCTTCACTGTCTCTCTGCATCTTGAGTGTTATCCTGTTATAAAGGCCTTCTTCAGATACTGTGAAAGAAGTAGAGGAAGGAGAATAACAATCTAATTGTTAAGATAAGGTACACAGTAAGGTAGAATTTAAAGGGTCACTACCATCTATCTCTTTAGAGAGTAATTTGTGAGTTTTTGCCAGTATCTATCAAAATTAAAAAATACCTATATACTCTTTGACTCAGCAATTTCATTTCTAGGAATTTATCATCAATGTGTATGTGTTTGTATGTGTGAGTATTTATCTCCTTTATCTTTTTTTTTTTTTTTTTTTTTTAAAAGATGACCGGTAAGGGGATCTTAACCCTTGACTTGGTGTTGTCAGCACCACGCTCAGCCAGTGAGCGAACCGGCCATCCCTATGTGGGATCCGAACCCGGGGCCTTGGTGTTATCAGCACCGCACTCTCCCGAGTGAGCCACGGGCCGGCCCTTTATCTCCTTTAAATAAATAAACACATACATATATGCAGTGTAAAAGGATATTCACTGCAGCATTATTTTATAATAATTAAAGCTTGAAAACAACTTTTAATGTCTATTAGTAAAGGAGTGGTTAAATAAATTGTAATAATCCTTACTGTGGAATACTCTGAAGCCATTAGAAAGACTTAGGTGAAACTTGATGTGCCGTTTTGGAAGAATCTCTAAAATCTATTTGGAAAGGTAAAATGCAGTACAGTGTATATAGTATGCTCCTGTTTGTGTTTTAAAAGATGATTTTAAAAGCTATCTGTGCTTAAATATGCATAAACATTTCTAGAAGGATACAAAAGTTTGCCTCTGGGGAAGGACTCAGGAATTTTGAATGAGAGGGAAACTTCTTTGTAAATTCATTTTATATCTTTTGATAGTATTTTGATTTTTTACCATGAGCATGTGGTACTTTTTATCAGCACTGCACTCTCCCGAGTGAGCCACCGGGCCGGCCCATGTGGTACTTTTTAAATACCTAAAAAGTATTTTAAAAATAACATCACTATAAAATAATTTTATACAACTTTTGATTTATTTTCTGCATTATCTCTGGCATGTATTGGATTAAGAATGACTATCCAACATGATTTTGAGCTCGCCCCCTTCTGATAATCATTTTATAACTCAAGCCATGCAAATGAATTATAATACTATATTGAGCAAATTATGATCATAATGGAATATCAGCTGGGGAACTGTAAGTGTCATGTATTCAAAACAAATGAAATGATTTGAGATACTATCTACATTACCATTTTCCTCTGTAGCATGTTAAGAATTGACTGTCCCTATAAATTTCTCATAAGTAAGAGTATCAAGAAAAGTTGTAGTAAATAATATAAATAGATGTTATTAATGGTAGGAAGAAAGTTCCTGAATGTGTAGGATTTGTCATTAATTTTCTTTTCTATGGTGGAAATCCTTTCTATATTCTCTAAGACCCTGAGAATTATCAGAGAGATTATTTGACTAAATCTAGTCTAATGAAAACCCACTTCCCTTATTCCCTCTTTCTCCCACCCAACAATGACCAAGTTGCTAAACGAATGGGTCCCTGTCATGTTGGGAAATGGAAGCGGAAAAAGACAGAGTCATAGAGAAAAGAAGGTCCAGCAAATTCCAAACAGGTAGAAAGAGGAATGTATATTTGGAACTAATGTGAGTGCCTGCAAAAATAGCACTTTCTGTATTTCTCCAGTTGTATTTGGCTTGAGAAAAAGAGTTGTGAAATTCAGTAGCCAGTTAGACTCAGTTTTTCCCTGACTGGAAGAGGTAACCATCACCACATCAGTGGAGATTTCGCTAAGTGGTCTGTGTATATTCTAAGTTGACTCCATTTCTCATTGCAGAAAAACGCCTGTCTAGGGGCATCTCCCACGCCAGCTCCAGCATTGTTTCCTTGGCCCGGTCCCATGTCTCCTCCAATGGTGGGGGTGGGGGGAGCAGTGAGCACCCCCTGGAAATGCCCATCTGTGCCTTCCAGCTTCCAGATCTCACTGTGTACAATGAAGACTTCCGCAGCTTCATAGAGAGAGACCTCATTGAGCAGTCCATGCTGGTTGCCTTGGAACAGGCAGGTCAGTGAGTACTTCTTCCCCTGTGTTTTTCCCTCTACTCTCACATGGAAGGGCTAGGATTGGTCAGTAAGTAGTAGCAGTCTAAGTGTGTGATGTGATGCAGTCAAAGTCAAGAGTCAGTCAGATAAACATGTACTGAGGTAGGTGCTTTTTGAAGTTAGAGAAAGGATACAGATTAGACACTTTACTCTGGAAATTTCCTGTTTGATGGAAAGGAAACCAGATATACATGTGAAAGGCCTAGGAATTAATACCTAAAAATCAGTACATGAAAAAAAAAAAAACCAACTAATTATAATTGGCTCTGGGATACATCTATAGAAAGGACCAGTACTACAGATGATGCAGGTATCTAAAAGTCACATTTGTTTATATGAACCTTTCCCCCCGAATTTATTTATGTTTACAATTGTGTTTCTCTTAAATTATTGTTAAAATTAGTCCATATGATAGGGTGAGGTAGCTGGACATTCTGGGAAAGCTAGTCTGGTCTTAAAAAACTCCCATGGGAGAAGGACTGGAGATGGGAGATGGGGGCATGGAACGGAAGCTTTTATTTTTTACTTTCTAACCTTCTATACTAACCATATGCATCTATTTATAATTTTTTAAAAAGTCAGGAAGTTATCTGAGCTAGTGAGATTATAAGCCAGTTGTTTTGTTTTTGTTTTTTCCTGTAGACTTCAGTAGTTCAATAAAGCTTTTAAGTATCATTCATAAAATATTTTACTCATGTAAATAATGGGTTGGTGATTGTGGGATGGTTATATAGAATTGAGACTCATTTTCTTGGGTGTTTTATTTTATGTACTTTGTCTTATTGGTCATGTCTTTAAAGTCATACCACACATATGCCATCATTCCTAACTATCACATATGCAGGTGATACTCACAGGACACTTTACACACTTCAAATTGTTTTTGTCTTACCAGTGATGGATTTACGGTGAGGTTTGTTGCCACAATTTTAATCTACTGGTCTCCTGACTAAAGTGAAGAAATCAGAGCCAGAGCAAGCAGCCAACACATTTTCAACCTATGACCTTGACCATATCATTTAACCCAGGGTTTCTCAACCTTAGCACTATTGACATTTTGGCCAGATAATTCTTTGTTGTACAAACTGCCTTATGCATTATGTTATATGTAGCAGCATCCCTGGCCTATACCCAATAGATGCCAGTAGCATCCCCCTACCAGCTGTGACAAGCAAACATATCTCCAGACATTTCCAAATGTCCTGTTTGGACAAAATTGTCCCCACTTAAGACCCAATGACCTAACCAACTGTGCTCAACAGACTCTGACTAGATATAAGTGAAGAAGATATAAACAGTAATAGAGGGATGGTTTTATTCTGGGTAGGCTTCCTAGAGAGGCTAATTTGGAGTCTGTTTTAGAAGTAGGGGAGTGGGAAGGGCTTCGTGGATAATTTGCTCTTCTCCTTTTCTTACACCATCTTGTTTCTGCAGGGCGTTTGAACTGGTGGGTGAGTGTGGACCCCACCTGCCAGAGGCTACTTCCTTTGGCAACTACTGGAGATGGGAACTGCCTCCTGCATGCAGCCTCTCTTGGTGAGTCTCAAGAGTGGTATTCCATTCCCCTGTAGAAAGGAAGCAATTGAATCAAATTTCATGAATAGGACTTGACCCAACTAACCTTGATCTTAGGTAGAAGTGATGATTCAGAACAAGGTTTTGTGTGTGTGTATGTGCGTGTGCATGTGTGTGTGTGTTGGCATAGGAGATGGGAGAGACCTCTGCCTTGGTTTTTCAGTCTTGTTCAGAGATGGTGAGGAGAGCACAGGGTTTAGCTTGGGTTCCGCTCTGAGAGTTGACCCCTAGGAATAATAAACAGCAATAAACAAGCAGTATATAGCTGTATATATGTGTGTATATGTGTGTGTTTTCAGCAGTCCTTTGTAACACTTACTTGAAATTATTAAGTCTATTTACAACTAAATATATTATTTGCCCTTAGCTTTTAAAAAAGTTCCCATTTTCCAACCATCCCTCAAGCTTTGATGTTGATTCCTGTGTGCCAGACCAGTCTAATCTGCTGCTACTCTGTATTTTAATTTATTAGACTTGCTTCAGGAGTAAGGGTTTCCTGTCAGGAGTTTGTGAGATGTGGTATCATTTTCACATTCTCAAAGTCTCTGAACCTCTAGATTAGGAACATCTTTTCTTTCTTGATTAAGCATTTCTTCCCTAAATCACAGTAGGAATTCCTTTGAACCCTGGGCTTTTTAGCCTGATTTCCTTTAAGCGGGTCTGTGTATCATAATTAATAAGCAGAGTTGAGTCAAGGGAAGGTGTTTTAACGCCATGTCTTCTTTCCACAGGGATGTGGGGTTTCCATGATCGGGACTTGATGCTGCGGAAAGCTTTGTATGCACTGATGGAGAAGGGAGTCGAGAAGGAAGCATTGAAAAGGCGCTGGAGGTGGCAGCAAACACAGCAGAATAAAGAGGTAGGAGAGCTTGGGTGGGAGCACCTTGTTTTCCAAAGTTACCTAGTTGCCAAAGTTACCCAGTCCCTTCCAGTAGGAAATATCTCCAGGTGCTTACATCAGTGTTATTTCCCTTGTAATCTTGAGATTTGTAGAAAATGCAGATAACACCATAGGGTAAACACCTTCTGATACGGTCATGAGAAATGGCTTTGGGGAAGCTGAGACCTATAGAGGAGGTATCTAACATCGTGCTTTTTACCTGATAGGTACTCAATAGCCTAGTGGCAGTCTTTTAAAATGACATATGACAATTCCATGGGAATTTTGTATTTTTTTTTGCTTATAATAAGGCTAGACCAATTTTTAAGGACTTATGTTTTCAACCCTTATAGAAATGTAAATGCTTAAAAAAATTTTTGGACCATTTGTGTTTTGTATACACAGTGTTAATTTGTTTAAAATTTTTAAAAGCATACCTGTCAAACTGATTTTGAATGGTATTTCTCAGGGATTGGCAAATGTTGAGACTGCTTTTATATAAGAAAGTAACAGTGGATTGTTTGCATTTTGACCATATCTTGATGGATCTCATCCTCCATTGCTTGGTCAAAAAGCTGCATGACCCATCATACAATCCTGTGAGCAGGTTCAGGACCATTTTTAGCACTCTCTCCAGCTTGTGTCTGTTGAAGTAGGACCAGCTAAATTGCTCTAACCAGAAGGTTAGCAAACTATGGCCCATGGGACAAATCTAGGCTAACACTTGCTTTAAAAAAAAAAAAAAAAAAGTTTTATTGGAACACAGCCCCACCCATTTTGTGTATGTTTTATACGTAACTGCTTTCTTCCTACAACAGCAGAGTAGAGTAGTTATATATGGCCTGCAAGGCCTAAAATATTTACCATCTGGCCCTTTACAGAAAAAGTTTGCCAATCTCTTCCTTTAATAATGACATTGTATATTTACATAAAAATAATGGGCCTCCTTGTTTCATTTTCCTTTGGTTCTCTCTGTCTTCTATGTTTATATTGCCTGTTCTTCGTGTATATTTATTTTTTGCCATATTTATGGCTGGGGGTTTCTGGCATTGAAAATGGGGATCTCCCTTCAGAAGCTTTCCTTTTTCTTTCATCATCCTCCTTTTTTTTTCTCCTTTTGTTATTCTGTCATCACTGGCAGTAATACAGAACTGAGAGATTTTTTGTTCACGTTATTTAGAATTTTATGTTTCTTTAATCCACCACTGTTAAAGGTAGGATGATATTAAGATCAGAATTCTGTCCTTGATGAGCCCAACTGCCTCAGGAAATTCTTGTGGGAAATAAATCCACAGGAGCAAGGTTACATAAATGACATTCCTTATTACCACCAAAAGATGTGCTGGACCTCGTGGAAAGCTTTTGCCTGAGCTAGAGCCAGACTAGAATTTAGTACCCAAAGCAACTCAGAGGTCAGTTTTGCCTTCTTTGCTATTGAGTTCAAACCATACCTGAACCTTGGATTTGACAACTCCAGAGTCAAGAACAGGCCAAACCAGCACATGCCAGCTGTTAAATAGAAATGATAATTGCAGTTATTAAAACTATGACAGTTATTGTTTAAGGATGGGATTAGATTATGATGATATTTAGCCAGGGGACCCAGAAATACCCAAATTCTGTCCTTGGTCAGACACTCATTCCCTCTCAAAGCCTCAATGGAAATACATGCATAGAGAATAGTGGCTAATGAAGGAGCAATTGTTCTACATCCTTTTGCTCAATGCGATGAAAATTCCGTACTGGAAATGTGGCCTGCTTAATTGTCTTAGTGAAGACCACTCCTAGCATTATACCCCACCTGGGGGGTGGGAGTGGGAAGACGGGGGCGGTGGACTGGCGTGCTTCATTTAGCTCCCCAGTACCAAGCACCAAACTAAATTAGTTTTTATTTCCTGGGCCTCCTTGTTTTGTGTTGAAATTGGTGGTAAAACCCAAAAAGAACATTTTCTTAAATGTTAAGGCTAGAAGTGTACACCACCTAGTGGCTGTGTGTATTAAAACAGGAAACAGAAACAGGAGAGAGGAAGCAGGAGACAGATCCTCATGGATGTGTGTATCAGAGTACCAGAGCACCCCATATATTACCTGTGCATTGTTTTTATTTTTGATTGAAATAAAATTTATGATAGTATTTTACAAATTGAAAATAGTGTTGTATTTTTTTTATTATTAAACTGTGTTCACAATAGCTCTTT